AAGTGAAACTGAGCTGTAAACATCAAGAGGAAGTAGGACATAAACTGGGCCGGTACAGCCTGGAAGCCCTGTGTATTTCTGCCCTCTGTCTGTGAGCTGCTATCTCAGTCTCCTTCAGCTCTTCATGTCTTAGTAAACAGCACCATGTGCAGATGTAATCTTGTTGCAGTCCCCCAGTGTGGTTGTTATAAAATGCATTTCCTTGTAAGTCATCTGTGTAAACAGTCACTTTCTAAAAGCACTATAGTTCTGGCCCTCTGGAATTTGGATCACATGTATGATTTATTTTTAATATTTGATAGGAACTAGGTTTTAGTGAAATGATTTGAAAGCCTAGCAGGATGTGGCTTTTTAAATTTATGAAACTGTCGAACAGTAGCAACTGAAATTTGTCACTTTTCTGTTACCCAGAGAATCAGACCTTTTGATAATATTTGGGAGGGTAAGAGAAAAATGCCAAATATGAAACTTTTTTGTCAGCACTACATACATCTTTTTTTTGCGGGGGGCAGGGGTACGGAGTCTCACTCTGTCACTCAGCCTAGAGTGCAGTGGTGTGATCTCGGCTCACTGCAACCTCTGCCTCCTGGGTTCAAGCGATTCTCCTGCCTCAGCCTCCTGAGTAACTGGGATTACAGGCGCATACCACCACGCCCGGCTAATTTTTGTATTTTTAGTAGAGATGGGGTTTCACCATGTTGGTCAGGCTGGTCTCAAACTCCTGACCTCGTGATCCTCCCGCCTTGGCCTCCCAAAGTGCTGGGATTACAGGCATGAGCCACCATGCTGGGCCAGCACTACATCCATTTTATTGAATAATTTTGAATGACTTCAAGTTCAACTGTGAAAAAGCTTTCTTTTCACATGTACTTTTTGATTAGGTATTGTCAACTTATTCAACTTGAAGATGTGAAGTGACAGGTTTTGCATGTGATGAGTGTTTTCTGTTAAAAAATAAATATTGAAATATTAACCCATGAAATACATTTTTATGGTAACCTTTGTTTTACAGTGGAGTTTTTAAAATGCTAGGTCTTTTATTGATAACTACAAATGAATAAAAAGCATTTATTCTCTCTTTGTTGATATTCAGTTGTGCTTTTATACTTTATGTTGGATAACAACCTGTGAGCAGTTGTGTAGATGCCACCATTAGTCCCTGCCTCATGCTTGCCCACAGCTCTTCCTCCCCTCCTCTCTTCCCTCTCCTGCCCATGCGCCAGAGCTGGGCCAGCCCACTGCCACACAGCCTCTGCACCTGAGCTTGCCAAAGCCCTTCCTGCCTCAAGATGTGATATTTGCCCCTCCTTGTCTGGAATGTCCTTCCCCTAGAACTGCATGAAGCTGGTTTGTTTTGGTCTCATGTTCAAAGAAGCTTCCAGATGTCCATTCTCCTCCCTGTCCCTGCCCCACCACTTGCATTTACCCCTTTTATTTTATTCATCTCAGCATGCTGTGAAATGGTCTTGCTTATTATGTGTTTATTAGTATTATTATTATTAACTATGAGCTCATGAGAACAGGGATTTTCTTTTAAACCGCTGTGTACCTGGCACAACATTTGTCCGCTAGTATGAGCTTGGTATCTTTGGGGCTGTAAACAGGCTTGAGCACTGACATGGGGCCTGGAAAATGTGGTTTCTGGCTAGGCAGCTGGGAGACTCTACAAAATCTGGGGGGAAAGCTGTCCTTACCCTAAACCTGGAGAGACCCTTAGGTTCAGGTCTGCAGCAAGAGGATCTGGTTCAGGAGAAGGCTGTCCTGTGAATTTGCCCCACCCACCAGGCTCAGTGGAGCAGGGCCTCTGAAGGGGGTACCCTCTGTGCGGCTCTGCTGTGGTGGTGGTTCATGAAGGACATGGGAAAGGGGCAGGAGAGGAGAGGCAGCTCTTCCTGGAGAAAAATGCACCCAGCCCAAGTTGGAGCCCTCCTGTGGCATAGGGTGGGGAGGGATTCCCCATCAGTTCTCTGTCCATGCGTGCTAATCTCACCCCTGCCCTCTAAGCAGTCCATGCTCCCAGTGTCCCTGTTCTTTTTTCTTTTCTTTTTTTTTTTTTTGAGGTGGAGTTTCGTTCTTGTTGCCCAGGCTGGAGTGCCATGGCACGATCTTGGCTCACTGCAACCTCTGTCTCCTGGGTTCAAGTGATTCTCCTGCCTCAGCCTCCTGAATAGCTGGGATTACAGGTGCCTGCCACCATGCCCAGCTAATTTTTAAATTTTTTTTTGTAGAGACAGGATTTCGTCTTGTTGGCCAGGCTGGTCTCAAACTCCTGACCTTAGGTGATCCACCCGCCTCAGCCTCCCAAAGTGCTGGGAATACAGGTGTGAGCCACGGCGCCCAGCCTAGTCTCCCTGCTCTAGGAAGGGATATGTTTGGGGAGGAAATCCAGGGCAGCTACCTTTGTGAGTTGTCCTAATGCTGCGTTCGGAGTTCCACACGTTCAACAAGGATATCTGACATTTAAGGAACGTGAATAGCATGTCACGAAAGACAGACGAACAAATAACTGATCTTGAAGAAAATGTAATTAGGGAACACAATAATTCAAGAACAAAAACCTGTGAAGGACTGAGTGTGTCCCCCAAATGTGTATGTGGAAACCTAATCCCACATAGGATGGAATTAGGTGGGGCCTCTGAAAGTTGATGAGGTCACTAGTGCCCTTATAGGAGGCCCTGGAGAGCTGCTTTGCCCCTTCCAGCGTGTGAGTACACAGTGAGGAGGTGTTGCCGATGAGGAAACGGGCCCTCCTAGATGCTGAACCGGCCGGTGCCTTGATCTTGGACTTCCAGCCATCTGAGCTATGAGCACTACACTTCCATTCTTTATAAATTATCCAGTCCAAGGTACTTTAAGAACCTGAATGGATTAAGACAAACCCGATTATGCCACTCCGAGATTTGAGGTAATATTTGAACCTAAAAGAGGCTGTATGAAAGAGGTTATAATTGAAACGATCTTTGACTTAAAAATTGTTGGCCTAAGATAATTCAGTAGCAGGGCTAAATAATGGGATGACTCAAAATCAGTAACCTCAAAGGCAATGTCAAAGAAATCTCTATGTTTAACATAGAGATGACAAGATTTAGCAAGATGACAAGATCAGCCAAGAGACTTGTCCAGAGGACCTCCAGGCTGACAAAGTTTCCCCGAGGAAGTCAGATTGGAAAAGTGTCCTCAGGTTCAAGGAAACCTGGGTGTGCACTGGGTAAATAAGAGTGGCAGACAGAAGGAAACAGCAAGGCCTCTGAGGTAGGAGGGACAGTGTTTTTGAATGTGAAATGTATGCCCTGATATATGTTTTCAAAAATGAATCTTGCTACCCTTAGAAAAGGAACCCCCAAACAAGGTAAGGTCGAGCTGCCCCCCGCATGTGTCATTGGACTTTGCGTTGTGGCCCTGCCTGTGGCAACGTGTGCTCTGCTACAGCCCAGGGAAGAGGGGCGAGTTCCTAACTCCTACCCTGCTTCTAGCAGACGCTGTGCTTGGCCACGTCTCTGCCTGCTAGTGTAACAGCTGCATTGGGCAAGGTTTGCCCTCTGCACACCAGACCTGCTTCCCAAGAACCAGGGAACAGGAGAGGACCTGAGCTTAGTGGGCCGGGTTGAGGCAGGAGCGTGGAGGAGCATGGACGGTGGCATGCAGGAGGTCAGTCATTCTGCGGTTTTCGCTGGAGGTTTGCTTTTGGTAGTTTATAGAATCATCAGATTTGATGATGAAACTTTTTTCCATAAATGTTTAATTTTCAGACACTTGTATTTTTTTCTTTCTTTTTGAGACTGAGTCACTCTGTTGCTCAGGCTGGAGTGCAGTGGTACCATCTCAGCTCACTGCAACTGCCTCTCGGGTTCAAGCGATTCTCCTGCCTCAGCCTCCCAAGTAGCTGGGATCACAGGTGTGTTTCACCAAGACCGGTTAATTTTTTGTAGTTTTAGTAGACACGGGATTTCACCATGTTGGACAGGCTGGTCTTGAACTCCCGACCTAAGGTGATCCGCCACCTCCCCACCCCTAGCCTCCCAAAGTGCTGGGATTACAGGCATGAGCCACCACACCCAGCCCTGTATTTTCTTTAAAAACCAGTTTTGGCATGTTTTGTAAGTTGCCAGACTATTGGATATGTATCTTAATCATAGTTTGTTTGAAATCCTTTGTGCTTTCTAAAGCACTAGTAGCTTTCTGAAAGGAAGATTTTTAATGAACAAGTTCCCTTTTCACTTAAAGCATTGAACATTGTTCCCCCATCCTTCTCAGTCCATGTCGTATGTGTCTTTTGATCCTTTTTATCTGACTTAAGTTTTAAATTTTGATAGAACAATATTCTCCAGCCACACCGCATTGCACCTTGGGGTCCTGAAGACGCCATGTGCTGCGACAGGTCCTTGCACACAGTCGCTGGGGCCTGGGATGCCCCACCTTCCTCTATCTGCTTTGCCCTTCCATCCATCGTCCCCATCTAACCCAACTTGGGAAACTCCTCATCTTTTTCCCCTGTCTCAAGGCCCAGGTTAGAGAAAGCCACTTGTCTCCAATCCCAGGGTATGCCAGGTCATCATCACCTGTTTCATTTTCTCCCTGCACATTCCTGTCATGGGAGAAATGTTACCAATATTTCAAAAAATGCCCCGGGTGATGCACGGAAAGGTGCTGCATCAGGCGCGGATGTGCAGGGCGAGGCGTGCTGGTCCCGCCCACAGTGTTCAGGTGCCGAGTGCGAGGAGCTAGTCCAGGTGCGGATGTGCAGGACGAGGCGTGCTGATCTCCTTACTGTCAGCACTGTTCACAACAGATTTCTTAGCATCCGATTTGGGAAAATGTTTTTTTCAGGCATGTAATAGAGTTCATTCACTCTTCCCTAGATAAAGGTACAAGCAGTGCATCGTCCTCTCCGTTGCCTTTTAGTGGAAAGTGGCCAAAGTGGAACAGGGTAAGAGGTGAAGGAACTGCCCCTGAAAGCTCCACGAATTCGAGGTTTGCAGAAATGGTTAGCTTTTTGCATCATGTCTGGCCGTTCTTGCAGGCAGTTACGGATTTGGAATACGGCCTTAAGGTACAGAGCTTCTCTCTGGATTTGCTCTTCCGATAGAAGAGGAAGCAGTTGCACTACACACTTAACACTCTTTTTCCCCATAGCAAAAGTAACACAGCAGCTCCTGAAAGCCACATTTCCGGCTGTGCTGGGGAGTCTCCACATTTTTGATGCGCTGGGCGTTCGTCTCAGATGCCTCGACCCCGTTCCTGCTTCTTTTACTTTGCATTTGCCTTTGTGGTCCTTCCCTCGCTTTTACTCCCCGCCCCTCCTGTTCCAGCGCCCCTCCTGCCCATGCGCCTCTCCTGCCCCAGCACCCCTACTGCCCCAGCGCCAGGCCTTTTCTAGCAGCTCCCCTGGGTTCATCTCTGCTGCAGGCATTGCTCCACCAAGCGGCGGTGCTCCCCCTGCAGGTAAGTGGTGGAACTTCACGTTTCCCTCTAGTTTTCTCTCTACATTTTAACATACACTATTATGTGTAAATATATTAATTATATATTAATTACACTTATAGAGGTTAGGTATATATGGAAGACAATCTCCACTATTTTTATTTGTCATGATTTATTGCGGGGCTCATTTATTTGATCTACCCCAACTTATTTAACACACATTTCCAAGAAAATATCCATCACACTAGAGAGAGGAAGGGAGGAAGGAAGGAAGGGAGGGAAGGAGGGAGGGAGGAAGGAAGGAAGGGAAGGGAAAAGGAATGGAGGAAGGGAAGAATGGAAGGAGGAAGGAAGGGAAAGAGAGAAGAAAGCCATTTGTTCCTACAAACCTAAACCTCTTCATAGTAAGTTCTGGCAGAAAGTGTGTTCGTGGAGTTAAACTGCAGGCTTGGAAACGGAATTTCTTAGCCTAATTTCTAAATTAGAACTGCTTATGCAAATTAACACTCCATACATTTCAACAAGCAGTTGGCTGATTTCTTCTGTCCACTCTGCCCGCAGATGCAGAGGTGGCCCCATCCTGTGATGTGCCACCACATCCCTTTCAGCGAAGGGCTTTGTTGGCTGCTGTGGGCATTCTCATGGCCTCTCCAGGCATGGCCTCCGCTGTAGAGACCTATGTCACCAAGGCCAGGCCCTCCCATGGGGCTCCATCCAACAACCATTCTGCCTCAGGGTAAGAGGCCCAGCCCTCTCAGCCTGAGTCCATTCTGGCTCCAAACCTCCCTGAGAGCTTGCCTGGCAAGTTCCTCTTGCTATTCTAGCTTCCAGCAGGCATTGATGTCTGGGGCACTTTTGATAAACTCCTGGCAGGAAACTCAATCTGTGGGGGTCAGAGTCCATTTCCTGGGGAGCCCAATCTGTGACCCCTAGGAGTGGGGACCATGGAAGCATTTGGCTCTCCAGCATGCGCTAAATAGGGGGTGCTGCCTGCAGTGTCCACGTGGAAACCTGGCTGGGAGAATGCCTGTGTGCTCCGCATGGGGATGCAAAGGTGTGAGCCAGCCTTCAGGGAGGGGATGTTCAATGTGATATTTGAACATCGGGATCTGAAAAACTGATGGGCTGATGGGGTCTGCGCATGACTGGCAGCCCTTGCAGAATCATGAGGGATGAGCACAGGCCACCCTAGACAGGGGAGGGGTCCCCTACCAGCAGGGAGGTGCTGTGGGGGCAACAGGCACGTGCAGGAAAGCGGAAAAGCAGAGTAATTGAATATAAATCATGCAACTCCACTACAGTAGTTAGAAGCCTGGATGGGCAACTTGGCTGAGTGATGTTGGGCAAGTTATTTAATATCAATATTCTCAGTTTTCTCATCTGCAAAGGGGATTAAATGCTTCCTTCCCTTACAGGGCTGCCCTGGTCTTAAATTAAATAATGCCTGCAGAGAGCTTAGCATTGTTCTTGGCAAGTCACCAGTACTCAGTAAATACTATTTTTATTAAGAAGGTAAGATTCACAGCACTTAGTGTCTTAACTAAATGTTGAGAGTGAGGAGAAGGGAGAATATTTCTCGGATGATTGTTCAGTTTCTGATGAATATCTGTTCCCCTTTCGAAACCTAATTCAGATGTCACTTCCTCCTCAAAGTTCTCGCCCCCTAAGCTACTGTGATGTATTTTTATGACCTGGTAGCTTTTTTCTCATATCCCTATTAGTGGTATTGTGGTAAGAACATGAGACACAGAATCAGAAACCGTGGATTTCTGGTCTTGACTCTACTACCACTCAGAGGAGCTTCACGCTGGAAGCCGTAAGAGTTTACATTGAAAAGGATTTTCACGAAAACCTGCATTTTCTTTTTTTTTTTTTCTTTTTGAGACGGAGTCTTGCTCTGTTACCCAGGCTGGAGTGCAGTGGCCGGATCTCAGCTCACTGCAAGCTCCTCCTCTCGGGTTTACGCCATTCTCCTGCCTCAGCCTCCCGAGTAGCTGGGACTACAGGCGCCCGCCACCTCGCCCGGCTAGTTTTTTGTATTTTTTAGTAGAGACGGGGTTTCACCGTTTTAGCCAGGATGGTCTCGATCTCCTGACCTCATGATCCGCCCGTCTCGGCCTCCCAAAGTGCTGGGATTACAGGCTTGAGCCACCGCGCCCGGCCGAACCTGCATTTTCATTTCGTTCACAAGAGAATTATGAGATTAGATAAACAACAATTCTTAGTATACCACAGACTGTGCTGTCCAGGAATAACACACAAGCTTTAACTCAAATGATGAGCATCTTTATTTAGCTCTCCTTTTAGATATCTGCATGATAAAGGTGAGTGATCCAACATTAGAAATCATCTGGACATTAAAACTGAATTATAGGCAGGTGTGGTGGCTCACACCTGTAATCCCAGCACTTAGGGAGGCCAAGGCGGGCAGATTGCTTGAACTCAGGAGTTTGAGACCAGCCTGAGCAACATGGTAAGATCCTATCTCTACAAAAAATATAAAAATTAGCTAGTCATCTTGGCTTGTGCCTGTAGTCCTAGCTATCGAGGAGACTGATGCAGGAGGATCATTTGAGCTCAGGAGTTTGAGACCATTCTGGGCAATATGGTGAAAACCTGTCTCTACAAAGAAAAAGCAAAGATTAGCTGGGCATGGTAGCACATGCCTGTGGTCCCAGCTACTCGGGAGACTGAGGCAGGAGGATTGCTTGAGCCAGGGAGGTCGAGGCTGCAGTGAACTGAGATTGCACCACTGCACTCCAGCCTGGGTGACAGAGTAAGACCCTATCTCAAAAAAAAAGAACTAATTTTAACAAACTATCTTTCAAATTATATCAAAACAGTAGTTCGTAAATTCCATGTTGCCCAGAGATGGTGACGAGCTCTTCTATGATTTGACAGTGCAGTTACTGAAGGGAAGACACCGTGCAAATACACGGTAAAAATATTCAAATTATTACTGATTGGACACAAAATATTGAAGTAAATAACATAAAACTGTAATATGCCATTATGATGACATTAATGAAAAATTGGATAATGAATGTCATTGAAAGAACATGTATTGATATACATGCTAAATGTTCTTAGTCACTGAAAGTGTGAAATATCCTCTAAACTCATATGTGAAAAAAGAACTTGAAAAAGATTTCCAGAAATGTGACAATTCTAACACTTTCATGACATTTTAAAAAAGGGATTGTAAAGATTGATAAAACCCTTAAAACCTCTCAAAAAATCATTTTTGATCAACAGAGTAAACTGATTTTTTACCTCTGTTGAAAGATATTTTTAAAAGCATTGTCCTGTGGAAAGGTGATATGAGAACGTTTGCTGTTTAATGTAGCACACATGTCTCAAAAAGGCATGCCAGGCAGTCACAGATATCGTAGTTTTTTGGATTTTGTGATGTTTGTGGTATTTGTCAGATTTTTAAAATTTGTGATTTGTTGGGATTTGTTCCTCATTCACAGGTAATTTTATATACTTTTGTATTCACTTTTGAAAAGAAGGCAACTCTAAATTTTATGAACTTCAAGTGCTATAAAACAATTACCACAGTACATTTTGAAAAATTCACCCCAAAAAGAAACGTTGTACCCATCGGCAGTAACTCCCTGTGCTCCGCCTTCCTCTCAGCTCCCTGTCTGGCAACCACTTCCTGTCTTTTTAGAGTTGCCTCTTCTGGACATTACATATAAACGGAATGATACACTATGTGGCCTTTTATGACTGGCTTCTTTCACTTAGCATAACGTTTTCAAGATTCATCTGTGTTGTAGCATTTGTCAGTGCTTCATTTATTTTTGTTTCCTAACAATATTCCATTGTAGGGATTGACCACACTTTATCCACTCATTGGTTGATGGACATTTGGATTGTTTCCACTTTTTTTTGCTGTTGTGAATAACACTGCTAAGCACATTCATATGCAATGTTTGTGTAGATGTAGAATATACTTTATTTTCTCTTGAGTACATAAAAGTGGAGCTTCTGGGTAATATAATAACTCTATGTTTAGTATTTTGAAGACTTGCTAAATTGTTTTCCAAAGCAGCTGCACCATTTTATATCCCTACCAGCAATGCATGAAGCTTCCAGTTTCTCCATATCATCACGAATACTCCTTGTAATCTCTCCTTTTAAATATAGACATTCTGGCACGTGTGACATTGTATCTCCTTGTGGTTTAGATTTGCATTTAGAGCATGTCTTATGTGCACTTAAAAATATTAACATCTCTTCTGCTGTTGTTGGGTAAACTGTTCGAGAGATGTTGATATGGTTTGGCTGTGTCCCCACCCAAAATCTCATCTTGAATTGTAATCCCCGTAATCCCCATGTGTCAAGGGTGGGACCAGGTGGAGGTAATCAGATCATGAGTGTGGTTTTCTCTAAGCTGTGTTCATGATAGTAAGTCTCACGAGGTCTGATGGTTTCATAAGCATCTGGCATTTCCCCTGCTTGCACTCACACTGTCCTTCCACACTATGAAGAAGGTGCCTTGGTTCTCCTTTGCCTTCTGCCATGATTGTAAGTTTCATGAGGCCTCCCCAGCCATGCTGAACTGTGAGTCAATCAAACCTCTTTCCTTTATAAATTACCCAGCTGCGGCTATTTCTTCTTAGCAGTGTGAGAACGGACTAATATAGGTGTTTTTTAGGTCTCGTTATAGTGTCGTTCAAGTCTTTTATTTCCTTGTTGATCTTACTCTTCGTTGTTCTATCCATTATTGAAAATGGGGCATTGGCCAGGCGTGGTGCCTCACGCCTATAATCCCAGCACTTTGGGAGGCCAAGACCAGCAGATCACTTGAGGTCAGGGGTTCTAGACCAGCCTGGCGAACATGGAGAAATCCTGTCTCTACCAAAAATACAAAAATTAGCCAGGTGCGGCAGCATGCACCTGTAATCCCAGCTACTTGGGAGGCTGAGGCAGGAGAATTGCTTGAACCCTGGAGGCGGTTTGCAGTGAGCCAAGATCATGTCACTGCACTTCAGTCTGGGTGACAGAGTGAGACTCAAAAAAGAAAAAAAAAAGAGAAGAAAGAAAACAGGGCATTGGATTTGTAAGTTTCTGACAGGTTCATTTTGCCTGCTTTCCAGATAGAGCCGATTTATGAGGACAGGGAAATTGCAGTGGAGAAAGAGTTTAATACACATAGAACTGGCTAAACAAGAGACTGGAGTTATATTATTACTCAAATCAGCCTCACAAAAATTTGGAGGCTAGGGCTTTTCAAGGCTAGTTTGGTGGGCAGGAGTTTGTGTACTAAGAAACCAAATGTTTCTTGTGTACTAAGTCAGCTTCTGGGTAGGGGCCAGAGGACGAGTTGAACCAAGAATTCAAGAGGTACAGGTTCAAGTAGGGCCATCTGGTTGTCGGAAATGCAAAAGCCTGGAAAGTCATCTCAAATGTTAGGGTCTACAATAGTCAAGTTATTTATAGTAATTGGGAAAGTTGCAAATCTTGTGACCTCTGTAAAAAATAAGTGATAATCTTTACACCTATGTATTAGCAGAATTCAGGCCCCTCACATTCTCCTAACCTGGTAGTCTTTCATTAGTTTTACAAAGGCAGTTTAATTTTGGGGTGGGGGGGCAGGGCTATTATCATCTAAACTATAAACTAGAATCATTTCTCCCAAAGTTAGCTTGGCCCATGCCCAAGAATGACCCAGGGCAATTTGGAGATTAAAGTCAAGATGGAGTTGGTTAGATCAGATCTCTTTCACTGTTATAATTTTCTCACTGTTAAAATTTAC